AATTTTGAGAAGAAATAGAAGGATTTGGAAGAGAGAGGTGAGAATAAAAGAAAACATGTTCGGCATTGATCAATCGTTTAGAGATGCATGTCCTCAACTTTTAGGAAGCATCGTAAAAGTAGTAAGTGTAGTAAAGTAGTAAATTCATCATAGAGCGCAATGGTCACAAAGAGACGTTTGTCTCCAGCAAAACTCGTGCTGAAACGTCACAGAGGAGTCGCACGAGTCACAGGCAACCGTCACCAGACGTCCGAGCTTACAAGATAGTGCAGACAGGTGGTAAAAAAAGGCGTTAAAGAACGAAAAGCAGCAGTTATCGTCGAAGCTGCAGAGGCTGGAGAAGGCGTTCGCAAAGCCTACCGAAACTTCGCAAATTACAAGACCAAGATGTCTGCACTTTCACTCCCATACGAAACAGTTACACGTTCCGAAAAGGAAATGGAAAGTCAACCACTACTACTCGGATTTCTTAGATACCTCATTCACCCGTCCTCGTATGAAATAAAGGAAGATGCTGCGACCGACTTTCTATTAACTTCGGCATTGATCAAATAATATTCGTATTCTTATTGAGCAAACGCGAAATGTTATTTTATTCTCTATTCACGGACAAGCTGACGTTTCGGCAGATTTCGCCTTCCTCAGAGCCTGGAAAGGTCAAGTTGACAGCAATCTATTTGGCCAAACGCCTCCATAACCAAACAGGGAATACGCTAAACCAAGATTTCAATCACATTTAACACAGAATAGCTTTTTTGCACACTCATCGCTTTCTATGAGGCTTCCACTAAGTATGTCGGTTGGAGACCAACCGCACAGAATTCACATCAAGCGTAATGCGCCCCTTCCATCAGAATAACGTGGTTTTATGCTACCCAATATCACGCGTGATAATGAGGAATTCTTCCATGTGGTTCATTTTCGGATTTCTGGAATTAATCCAGAACGCCTCGAGAGTTTTGTGTTCTCGATTCCTGTGCGAGGATCGTGACCCGTACTTCATAGTCCTCCTCGTTATGCCTCTGGGTCCTATGCGTGCCTAGGGAAGTATTTGGTGTACGTTTACCGACTAGGTGTTCTTTTATGCGGACACAGAATGGTCTATCCGTTTTGATAATGCATTCGTCTCCGCACGCCTTACAGGAGACCAGGTAAACTGTACCCGAGCTCATGCAATCACCGTCTCTACCATTAGAGCAAATTATGCGATTTTGCGTTGCACATAGACGGTCATATAGGCGGTTGCGAACTAGCTGGCGCCTAAGAGTGCTCGGTGGTATTTCAACTACGTTTACCGAATTCTCTAGACCCACCCTTCTTAAGCAGACCCTTTATAGCTGCACTCACACCATTTGAGATGAAGGGTAGAATAAACGGGACCTTTTTATCGCTAGAGTTGTCGTTTGGGGTCTAAGATTTTCTCTACACCTATCCCGAGCTACAGTTTCGTAGCCATTAGAAATGGCTATCTGTCGCGCCAAGCTCCGGGACTCCTCTCTCTGCTCTCTTTCTGTGTACACGTTGGTTGCTGTTCGAAACATGTTTCTTACAAGCGCCCTTTTCGTGTGAGAGGGGTGAGAGAAGAGGTAATGAACCAAGATGTTATTACTACTTGGATTTCGGTACCACTTCGCAATGTAGTCATTTTCTGGTAGGTTAATTTGGACGTTCAGGAATGGGAGCCTTCGGTTTTTCTCGGGTGAACTTGATATACTCTCACTGTTCGTTCAACAACTCGAAACATTTGTCCATTTCATTTTGTGTTGAGCAAAAGACAAAACAGTCATCTATATATCTACGGTAGAGTAACGGTCCGAGATCGGTCACTGGTGCTTCCACCTTAGACATAAATGCAATGGCAAGGCTTGGAGCCAGTCGTTGTCCCATTGCCAACCCTCTTATTTGAGCATAGCACTTTCCTGGCCATCTGTAGATTGAGCAACTCAAGTATTCTTTAAAAACTGCGACCAACTGCTCTATCTTGAAGCCACATATATTTATTTCTTCTTTGTGTTGTATAAGGAGTTCGAATATTGCTTGTATCGCGGAGTTGTTCGACACGTTTGTATAACGGGCGGTAACGTCGAAGGACTCCATCGCGCACGAGCTGCTGGGTTGCGCACTAGATCGCACTGCGTAGACGATCCAGAAACATCTGGGTATTCGTAAGATGGGCTGTAATGTGTTTCAACAACTGGGTAAATATTAGGGTTAAAAGCCACGTTATCCTATCCGTCGGCCTGTTTACACAGCTAATGATAGGTCTAACCTTAAACAATGATGGATCGGTAGACGCAAGATCATCGCTGAATACTAACTTATCAATATGCATGAGAGAACACCTAGCCGGCAAAAATAGACCAAATACCCCGCTAGGCACGCATAGGACCCAGAGACATAACGGGGACGACTTCGAAGTATGTGTCACGATCCTCGCACGCGAATCAAGAACACAGGCGCGAAAAACTCTCGAGGCACTCTGGATTAATTCCAGAAATCCGAAAATGAACCGCAGGGAAGAATGCCTCATTATCACGCGTGATGTAGGGCAGTATATAAAACTGCTTTTCTGATGTGAGGGGCACATTATACTTCCACGTGATTTCTGTGCGGTTGGTCTCTACGTGACATACTTAGTGGAAACCTCATAGAAAGCGGTGAGTGTGCAAAGCTGTGTTCAAAGTGATTGAAATCTTGGTTTGGAGTTTCTTTGTTTGGTTATGTAGGCGTCTGGCCGAGTGAGTTGCTATCAACTTGACCTTTCCAGGCTCTGAGGAAGGCGAAATTCGCCGAAACGTCAGCTTAATCGTGAACAAAGAATAATAACACCTCGCGTTTGCTCAACANCCCCGCTAGGCACGCATAGGACCCAGAGACATAACGGGGACGACTTCGAAGTATGTGTCACGATCCTCGCACGCGAATCAAGAACACAGGCGCGAAAAACTCTCGAGGCACTCTGGATTAATTCCAGAAATCCGAAAATGAACCGCAGGGAAGAATGCCTCATTATCACGCGTGATGTAGGGCAGTATATAAAACTGCTTTTCTGATGTGAGGGGCACATTATACTTCCACGTGATTTCTGTGCGGTTGGTCTCTACGTGACATACTTAGTGGAAACCTCATAGAAAGCGGTGAGTGTGCAAAGCTGTGTTCAAAGTGATTGAAATCTTGGTTTGGAGTTTCTTTGTTTGGTTATGTAGGCGTCTGGCCGAGTGAGTTGCTATCAACTTGACCTTTCCAGGCTCTGAGGAAGGCGAAATTCGCCGAAACGTCAGCTTAATCGTGAACAAAGAATAATAACACCTCGCGTTTGCTCAACAAAAATACGAAGAAAATCACTTATCAATATGTATTTTTTTGATGAGCTTACACGAGGTTGACAACGATATTTATTTTTGGATAACGCTTGGACGTCTTCGTCTTCATCGGAGCCGATGATCCGAGCCGACGGTCCACACTTGTCGTTCGTCTCGATATGGCGGCTTCGCCTTCGTGTCGAGTCAGGTCTTCCTCAGCGAGCCATCTCCTCGAATGAGGCATCCTCACTCAGTGATGCCCTTTTATGTAGGTTGCTGATGGCGGATAGCTGTGATTGTCCGGTGATAGTGTGATAATAACTTGTTTTTCCCGGACAATCAAACCTGCAGAAGTCGGTGTTATTACCAGCTAGCACAAAGCGTAGTAATATTTCGAAACCGATTTTCCTTGAACCTCGGTGTCACTAATCAATATGTATTATAGAAAGATGTAAAAACTAATTTTCTTCGTATTTTTGTTGAGCAAACGCGAGGTGTTATTATTCTTTGTTCACGATTAAGCTGACGTTTCGGCGGATTTCGCCTTCCTCAGAGCCGCTTCCTATGAGGTTTCCACTAAGTATGTCACGCAGAGACCAACCGCACAGAAATTACATGGAAGTATAATGTACATTGCTCAACAAAAATACGAAGAAAATTACTTGATCAATGCCGAGGTTAATAGAAAGTCGGTCGTGGCAGGTACTGTAAAAACTAACTTATCATTCTTATAAGCAAGTACAAAACGGGACATGTTAGTAGGTCAACTTTTAGTTGAGAGATAACTAATGTTAACCCTTTTATTTACTGCCTGTTGTTTTTAACAGCAAGGTATTTTTGCGAAATATAACTACTATAATGCTGAGATATTCCCCACCGCATACACCTGCGGTCCGGAGTTTTGCAAATATCTCAGCATTATAGTAGATAACTGATGGTTTTAAACCAGCAGCTCTTGCCATTTTGGCCCACTCGTGGTTTAGTTTTCGGTATTGACTTTTAAATTCCTTCTCAGACGACGGACGATAAAGGGAAGCATCTTCAAGATGCTTTTTCGTTATCTCAACATCTAACTGGTGGGGTATTACGGCAAACTCTCCACCTTTATCGCTAACGGATAGTCTTATGTTTTTCAACCTTATCAGCTCTCGTACCTCTCGCATACCACGTTTTTGCACTTCAATGAGGTTGGAGCCGTACCTTTTCGCGCGATAGTGATTAAGGACTTTGAGAGTTTCATTCGCAAACATCCGAAATTTAACATCAACTTCATTATTGGGCTCTTGCTGTCTAAAGAACGTTGGGGGAAATGGTGCTATTGGTAGGGCCCCCACTTGATGTTGTTCGCACCTATTTAGCGCTTCATCTCTAGCTTTTTTGCGGAGTCTGTCTTGAAGTTCATGTAAACCACATGCGACCCTACTCAAGGTTATCTTAGAAATGGGTTCAGATGGTGAGAAACTCGATTCCAATTCTAATAACGAGCGCGCACCGTCAGGGAGAGTCATGCTTTCTAGCACGGTTAGCCTTCAATTTTCTTGCACCTTACCTATCCTACTGTGACTTGTTCGATGTTCGTTAGCGATATTTCTGTGCGCTCTTGAAGCTGTGTTATGCGATTTACTCAAAAGGTCTTCGAATTTTTTCTGCAAAGTTACTTTAGCATTAGACCTAATAGAGTTGCAAATCAACACTGACCCGCTCACTATCCTCCTCCAGAGGCGGTGCTCCAAATATTGAGCACAGAAGTTTTCCTTCGTCTCGCACTTTTTCCACTTGGCGAACATCTGGTTTTGTCGGTTTCGTAGAAAGGTGCGTAGTATTCGCAATTCGATGTCCACTACTCGGTGAACGTTCTCTGGTAGTCCGCATACATCGCTTAGTCATCTTCGTTTGATGAAGTTCGGGACGAATCGGTGTTTTAAACATCGGCGCAGAAAGTCTATTGACTGTCGACGATCTTTTGTCTTAGTGACAGCTCTTCTTCTACAAGTCGGAAGTATCGTGCTGGTACATCTCGTAAAAAATCCCACGACCGACTTTCTATTAACCTCGGCATTGATCAAGAAATTCTTTGTATTCTTGTTAAGCAAACGCGAGATGTTATTTTATTCTCTATTTACGAACAAGCTGTCGCTTGGGCGGATTTCGCCTTCTTCAGAGCCTGGAAAGGTCAAGTTGACAGCAATCTTTAAGGAAGATGGATGTTTTGTTCCACCGATCCTTCCCTCCGAAATCCGACATGTTATTTCGTCGATAAAGAATTGAGCAATACCTGGTCTGAGCACAATAGGGGGTGAACACTTGTCGGCTCTTCAAACAAGACTGCTTCATCTATTCAAGAAGGGTGGCTTCCATGGTATCGGCAAATAACGCCGAATCTGACCTGGTATCCGTCATCTAGAAACCCTTCACTAGAGTCATCTGAAACAGTTATGATGGAATACTCGACGAAGAGGGACAAACATATGAGTGAGCAGGGTTTATTCGTGAGCTATATAAGTATTTCAAAACAAAAATATTGCCTTTCTATAACGATACTAACATCGACGTCAAAAGAAGGGGTTGGTCAAGGTGAAATCATCTCTCTAAAATTATTTACGGCCACCTTCGAGAACATCATGCGAACATTGGAATAGGAGAACATGGAAGTGAAAATCGATCGTCGGAAATTACACCATTTTCGCCCTGGTGGTTTTCTGTGCTCCATTTACGCTCAACGGAATGATTATCTCCCAATGCTCCAACTAGGTCTGTTTAAGTCAGGATATTAACATCATGAACTTCAGCTCCAGAGTTGAGCAGCAGGAAGCGGGCTACTTGTGGAACTTTCAAGGGCATCGAGGATTTAGTGAGGAAAACAATGAACAGCCTACTCCTGCCCACCTGTCGACTCCACGATTCCTCCTGCTTTAATATGTCAGAAACTGTTCGCTACATAGGCAGAATGAAATGTCATATAAATAACGCGCAGTCGAAAGAACGACGCTAGAGTACGCTGTATCAGACAAGTGAGGAAGTGGATCCGAAGCTCCCACCTGTATCAATGGTGAAAAATCAAAGACGTCGCAATGTGCTCGAAATTTTCAAATAGAGGGTGGGCGCGGGACGTAATTCGTTTGAATGAAAACGACGGACAAGGGCCGTTAGCGACTGAGTTCTGGATGACAAACATACCAGGTAGACCATCGATCTGAAACGCTAGAGGGAAATAATGCTCAACCAGTTTCTAGGTCGAGCGGGACCCACTGGGCTAATTTTGCACCAGGGAGAAGCGAAATACTTACTGGCGCCCACTTGATTTACTCGACGGTCAACGTGACGACAGGTGATACCTTAGAGCAGAAGGAATCGTAGAGTCCAAGGGATGGTCATGAGGGTGGGGGGCTGTTTATCCACTTTGCAACATTCTGGAAGCTCCAAGAGGTCTTTAATCTGCTAGTTTCTTCTTGACTGTTGTAGCGCCGAATTGTTCTTTACGATGGCATGTCAACATGTCAACCCAGATACGCACAGCCGTGGAATTCGTAGAAATTCGTTTCGTCGCCTTTTAATAGCAAATCGAAAACAAGTCTGTTTTTCATGAACATCGTCTTCATGAGATTCATTCCAATACTACTGCTTACACGAGCGTTGTCGAAGTTGATCAACATTCTTACCACCTAGCTAGTGCTTGTTGTTATAAGGACCTCTGTATTATCTCTGCAAAACGGAGATGTTGTGGTTTCCGATCACCGATTTTTACCTCCGCATTGGCCCATTTAACTCTTCGCATGAGGTCCCCGATAGTGGGTGTTCAACGCGCTGCTCTCTCCTTGTTGAGCCCCTTTCTTTACGTAACTGTAAATGTCCTTATAGATAAAATGGTGAGAATCTTCTAAACCAACTCTCATTTAGCCTTTCGCGAATAATCAGGCTATTCCTTTAGATTGTTTGATCTCTATGAGGTTGGTATAAAATTTTTATTCCGCTAACTTTCTACCTCCTGTTTGTCTTTGCGATATAGGTCTTCTATGTTAGTCAGTTAACAATGAAATCAATCAAAAACCGTAGTGCAAAACAGAGCAGTCTCGAATGAGTACTTGAGCGGTAGTGCACTCCAGGAGATTCGATGCGACTACGAAGACCCACGCCGGAAGTTTCTGGTTGTGAAGTTGTTATACAACTCATGAGCCTTGGCTGTCCAGAGTATTGGTGACTTTTTCTGTCTCAGTTGAGTGGAATGGCTTTTGTAAGTGGATAAATTTGTAAGCTTTTAAGTGAAGTAAATTAGGCACATGTGCTCCCTTGGTTGTTCAATGCGTTTTGTTACTGTTTGAACATATTCTATTGTGCTGAACTCCTTTCGCTGAATCCCACTTGCTAGTTTGAGTGTCGCTTGGCAAATGTTTTACCAACCGTAGTGAATAATGCGTTGGTTTAGACAGCTGGTATCATTGCAGGTTTAAAGTTATTTTCTTTTATTAATGATGAATTTAATGGGTATCCTTGTATTATTGTGACAAGTTCTGTGAAAAGCCTTAGTATCGTGTTGATGAGGAGTGGTGGTATTGTGTCTAGATGGTTGCCTAGGTGCGTCACATATAATGCACGGGTTCCGAGATGGTCGGGGTGCACATGTGATACATTTTATTTTCGACTGCTTGTTTTGCGCTTATAGTTTTTCTGATGTATTTTACTAATTCGGCGGCTTATCCAGCACAGATTTTGTGACCTGCTTCGTCGAGAAAAAGCTCTGGCCTCAGCACAGAGATATGTAAAAGCCTGTATTCGAGTCAATTCGTGTATCTATACATACACTACATGAACGAAGTGTATCTTAAATATCCCATAGAACGTTGTCAATTGTAGATAATAGTGTGCCCAGATGGTGGGATACGTTCCATAAGCATGGAGAGATATATTGAAGAAGATAGAAGATACATACATAGGATATAAAAGCACATCAATTACCAACAAAGAAGACAAAAAATCGGATTATGGAGTGAAAAGGGCAGCAACAAAGGAAGGTCATTTGCACGAGAGCATTGCAGCAATTGTGCATCGTATATGATTCACCACAAGAGCGGCCAAAAATTAGGCGTTGGCACGAATGTGTCCATTCTGTCGAGAGCGTGTGTTGTTCAGTACTTCATCAACGAGATAGCATTATGAACCTCGGAAACAGAACCAATAGTGCGACATATCCATTTTCCGCAACATGATGTGAAGGCAAGTTGGCGTAGCTATCGAAGAGACCAAAGCAGACTATAGTAGTCTATTGATTATCGAATTTTTTCCATATACTTTACTCGGACCAGTGGCTCTTTGGTCTTCTACTTGTATTTTGTTTTTATGATCCTCTTTAATAGCTTCTTTCGAACTTTTGCAGGTTCTTCGGTAGATAAATAGTTCACGCTAGTTCACTTTGGCAAATTAGGCCGAAGTCTTTCTGGAGAAAGTGATGCCCTAGTGACTTCAGTAGTCCGGTCCCATTTTCCATCGATGTTGTCCATAACAGCGTTTCCTCAAGATTCGGTTTACGAGCTGAATAAATCCCAATTCATGTTGGTTTTGGGAATTCGTTTCTTCAATGTTGCCGATCTATCTTTTATTCGCGAAGAATGGAATTCTATACAAAAGAGACGATGCTTCGGCCCAGTGTAAAAAGTTAGGAAAAACCTTCGTTTTGTTTAGTACCATAATATAGTCACCTTCGTCGTGGTAGTCTCTAGTGGAAGATTCCCTTCACCGTTGGCGGGAAATTCTTCGTACAGGAATTTAAAACTTAGCTGCGTAAAACCCTCGAAACATTCTGTATAAATTCTAGGAACCCAAAAATGAAGCATAGGGAGGCATGCCTTATTACCACATGAAATACCGCGCAATATCTCAGACTGATATTTTAAGACGAGACGACTGATATTTCACCCATCGATGTTGTGAGTTCAGTGTGGTTAGTGACCGCGCGGAAGTCTCAGTAGAAACTCGTGGAGAGCGGTGAGCTCGTGAAGAAGCTATTTTACTTCAACACAACTGAAAATTGGGTATCCTGGCTTTTTCGTTGCCGCTATGAACATTTTTGACTGATTAGATCGCACTTAACTTGACCTTTCCAAACTACGAAGAAGGTGAAAACCGCAGAAGTCAGCTTTTAAGGAGAAATGAATAGTATGGTAAGAACTCCATGTGCCCTTATGGAGAAAACAAAGAAATGTGGAGAAGATTTCAGGATTTGTCAGCTATATTTGTGGTTTTCGTCATCATGATAAACTCGGTCGGCCGATCATTTATAGAACTCCAAACGATGGAAACTAGTGAGAAGTTTTAAAGATGTTTTCTTCGACCAATCCTAGCGCAGCAGTAACCAGTGTTCATGTTGCAAAAGATATTAACTTTTTTGTCGAACGTCTCTGAGTACGTCTATAATGCATTGACCTCGTTTTCTTCACAGTTTGATGCTAGAGCATGGATAAGAAAGAGAAGCGTTTTTCTAGAGGTTTTCAAAGATAGACGTCTGATTCCGATCGTTCCTTGTTGGAAAGAGTTGGTATCCATTAACAGCCTTGTGTACCAAAGCTGCTGCCCGATCTCCTATGAGATATTCTGGAGCTCCTTTGCAGCATCATATACGTTTAATGCACACTGTCTTCTCTCTAAGGTAGTTTTGATAAAAACGTTATTATGGAAGATTCAGATGCTAGCGTGCTTGCATTACAAGTAGGAATCCCATCAAGGCTCTTCTAGTTTTAGGCAGCCCAAGATGACCATAGATCTGGTGTTATTTGGGGGTCATCAAAGCGTACCCCGTTGTTTTCCTGTTGCTGTTGGTGAGAAATACTCTAGGGAACACGCTAGGCTCGGCGACGTCATCTGGACATAGCAAGAAAACTTTACTCGTTCTTTTCGGAATAGACACAGAGCTTGTGTTTTGAGGTCACTACGAACCG